ATATATGTGTGTGTGTGTATGTATATTACAATCCAGCGCTCCGATCCACCTTTTCACGTTATATTCCCGCACCGCGGTTGTCATGGAAACTAAGTGCCACAATAATTATTGTTTCTGCCTTTATCGGAGAGCATGAAACCACGCGGAGGAATGAGCTGTCGACTTCTGAGTTCCTTTTTAGTGGATCGAGTATCTCGCCGCTTGTCTTTGCACTGTACGGTGGACGGCGTAGGCAGTGAAACACAATCAAATTAATGTTCATGTTCAGGTCATTTTGAACTGCAGAGTATCTAACTCTGTGAATGGCCACAAAAGAGCAGTTACACCACAATACCCCCCCCCCCCAAAATATATGTGGAAAAAAATGGAGCATACTCAAAAGCCACTCAAAGACGTCATATGAAGCAACACAATGCGTGGAGATAAACATCGCGTAAAACAATACGAAACAAATATGAATAATAATTAGAAGGGCCAATAAAAAAATTGAAGTCCAGATAATTCGATCAAACAGACCAAAATACTAACCTCACTCTAGCTGTTTTTCAAACCTGGGTCTCTTTTTGTACTCAACTCCTTTTTTCCTCAAGGGAAGAACGGCCTTTCCTGCATGATTAAGATCAAACTCTCACGGATAGCTTTTTTGCGTTACGGAAAATAGTGCAAAAAGCAAACACACAAACACACACAATACTTACACACACACACACACACACACCCACACCCCCCCCCACACACACACCCACCCACACACACATATACACACAAACAAACATACAAATATAAAAACACACGTAAACACATATTATATAATACGCATACGTATATGCCTACTCTACACACGCACAAACACAAATATACACCCCCCAAAAAACATACACACACACACGCATAAACACATACTCAAAAACATACGGTACACATAAACACTGTACACACACAGACACACACACACTCACATTCACACAAATACTGTACACACACTCACATAATCACTACACACACACACACACACTCACACATACACACACACCCAAACACACACACACAAACACACACACATACACACACACACACTCACACGCGCGCGAGCTCGCAAGCACATATAATCAGATTTAAATACATTCATACACGCTTACATTCACCTAAACACACACACGCACACACACGCGCGCGCGCGCACACACACACACACACACACACACACACACACACAGGACTGAAGCTTTCACAAACATTCTCGGCTTCTCAAGAAGTACTACTAGATCTAGATCTACTACTACTACTACTACTGCTAGATCTACTACTACTACTACTACTACTACTACTACTACTACTACTACTACTACTACTACTACTACTACTACAACTACAACTACTATTACTACTACTATTACTACTAAAGCCATTTGATATTCCAAAAATCATGAAGCTGCTAATCTCTCTTTCTGCCTACACAAAATAAAATAGAATAAGCTTTAGACCTAGTTGATCAATGGGTTAGCCTACTTACCTTCCAATCCAGTCACTCACAATCTGTGTAGGCTAGATCAGCAACCACACGAAAAAAACCGAATCGTGCTTTATATCGAGTTCCGAAAGCAAGCGCTGCAGGAAGTCTTCTCTCTTCAGACGGAAAGTTACATCTGACAACCACAACTGGCAGCAAGAAGTAGTGGTGCAATTGATCGATCAAATTTTTCGATTAACCGAGCAAGATTCTTGGTCGAGTAAATCGACCAAAATGGTTTCTTGACCGAGCAAGACATCAATCAAACGCCAAAATTAATTGTCGCTATCAAACAAACGCGAAACCCATATTTTGTCATTGCATCGTTTTGAAAACCAGCAAACTTCAAACTTTTAACAAAGTGCAAT